AGACAGAATTTATAGTTCCAAATTGCAAAATGCAGTCCAATTCGTCGTCTCCCCACCAAGGAACGTAACTACATTTTAAGGTTGCCTAATTGACTGAAACAATAAATTTATTTTACAGAAATGCAACTTTGCAATTTTCATCCAGAATTTTTCAGATTTCTTCCTGAAATCTGAGGAAAAATCAGTGAAATTTTCAGCGAGGAATGCCGGAGATCCCCCAGTTAATATACAATTTGCAAGGGGAATTTGGCAACATTGAAATATAGTTGCGTTCTTTCGTGAGGGAAACAACGAATTGAACTACATTTTGCAATTTGGAACTATAAATCCTAGCCCGGTTTAAAAACAACGTATGTGCCATTAGTGTCCCTATGCACATAAGTGCTTTTCCAGAAGAGCCAAAATTTATAGTTCCAAATCGCAAAATGCAGTCCAATTGACCCACTACCAGAATGAACGGATTCTGAGCAACAAGACGACTACACCGGAAGTAAACAAATATCCACATAGTTAAAAATGTCCGTGTCTATGGTGCGTTCTTGTCTTGTTTGTGTCTGCATTCTTCCTCGAGCAATCGTGACATCAGTGAGTAATACCAGATACCACTGTTCGGCCACGTTGGAGCTCGGGTTGCCTACACTGAAAACTGGAGGCGAACTGACAGTTTTCCAAAGTCGCACCGCTCCGCACGCTACTAGCGAAGAGAGACCTTCCACTGACCTCTTGGAAACAGGTGGAAACTTTTACTCTCAGGGGCTTAGCACTTCCTTACGGCCAAAAATGAGGGAGCACTAGTTAACACCTTCGACTGTTGACCTACCCACTAGGTGAATGATGAGCCTCGGGTGACGTCATGAGCCGAACAATTTTCTAAAACTCGAGTTTGACGAAAAAACGAAATTCCCAACATTTTGTTAACCATCCACCTGGTAGGTAGGTCAACACTGCCTTGCTAAGGAAGAACGCCATATAAACATTCGAAAGTTGCCAAATTTTCTTGGATAAAACCTGTATTTTTGTGGGAATTTATTCACATTTTTCCTTGATATTTTCATATATTTTAGATCATATTACGAACAAAATTCTTCGAAAAGATTGAAGAAAAATATTTAAAAATTTTCCCCAAAATTCGTGCGTTATTGAAGGACATCTGGCAAAGCCTGAAGGCTCATACGGCGTTTTTCCTCAGCGCAGTAGAATAGTTGAATGATGGAGTCCTGGAAGTAAAAGCTTCCACCATTGCCAAGATACCTACCAGTGGAGAGTCTTTTGTCTCTGCACGCCACACTCGATCCTGTTAACCGATTTTTTCCATACGGAGGGAACAATACCATAAAAAATTACGTGCGAGCGTGATTGTTCATGTTTTTGGTGATGGATTTGATAGAAATACACGTCCAGTATATTGGAAAATCCTGATTGACGCATTAATAAAACTGCACAGAAAAAAATGGGTCAAGTAGTCTTTACACCTTATGTCATGACCCAAGTCGTAAGACGTAACCTTTTATACGTTACGTAAATCAAACCAATACATTGTCATCAGAGTTTTATCTGCGCGATTTAAGTATCTACCAGGAACAGCCTTTGTTCACTATTCTGCCGTGCTAAGGAAGATCACCGTATGAACATTCGAGAGTTGCCAAATATCTCCTGATAAATCATGTACCTATTTATTAGGAAATTTATGCATGGTTTTCTGCGAAATTTTCAGATGTTTTAGATCAAATCGCGAACAAAAGTATTTGAAAAATTTGACAAAAATTATTAACAAATTTTCCAGTCGATTCGACTTGTATTAAAGGAGCTCTGGCAACGTGTAAAGGCTCATATGTCGTTTTTCCTTAGCACGGCTGTATTCAAAGGAGAATGTGATTTTATGGAGGTCGCCGGGACGTAAGTACTTTCATCAATGGGTAAAAACGAGAACAACTATAAAAATAAAACCGCTTTGCAACAAGAACAACACCTAGCGCCACTCGCACTCGACTCCGACCGAAAAATAAAATGAAATAAATTAAAAGCGTAAAAAAAATATCGTCTGGATAGGCAAGAATGTCCGGAGCGACACTTATAAAATATAAAACGGCGATGCTCGACATCAGCTTTGAGAGGACAAAAGCCGAACATTTCCTCTAAAATACAAAACCAAGTATGTACACGAGAATTGCGACTGGAGTTATGTGGTTCTTACTCGAGTGCGAGCGACGACCGGATAAACGGGCGACTACGGTTACGCATTTACTAATTGTTCGTCAAAATGGATCCCCGACGCGATGCGATTGGTGAAAAAAAAATGAAATGAGAGGATAAAAAGAGATATGAAAAATATTTTATGGACAGCTGGAAGCGAGGAGTCGTAGGAGGAATGTAGTCGCGAGGCTGAGAGGATGTGGGAATCTGATTGGTGCGTCGTCGGAGAAGGAGAGGATTTTTCGGATAGATTCTCGAAATCCTCGAGATTTGTGCTGCTCCACCGACCCGGCGCCCGGGTCTGAGTTATGGTGAACTTGCAGTCGATCCGTCGCACGGTGGGCTAGGATGCAGTTCTCGTATGCAGCAAAATTAAAGAAAGTCAATATCGTAGTAAAGTATTGCGAGGAAGACAGTGGACCACTAGTTTTATAAAAATTTGGTCCATTCAGCGCACATACGAGAGTAAACAGAGAATTCCCAATTTTCAGAGCACAAGACAGAGAATTCCAGAATTTGTGGCCCTCTAAATAATCGATGCCTGTATTTTCTGTTGATACTTACTGTCTCAATGACTCTTCGCGTTGAATTTACGTAGGAAGATGCAAAGAATAGAGTTCCCGTATAGTATTTACAATATTTCGAATTTAATGTTAGTTTTTAAAAAAAAATGATAAAAAAGCATATTAAAAAAAATCCAAGTTTTTGGTTTCCGTAAACGAAGTTTTTTTTTTAACTATGGGACGTATCAACTAAACTAATCCGATCATTTAGGTTCTATTATTCATCCGAGGAGCTGAGGAAATTTTAAACACTACAAATCACATCTGTAATTTTTGCGTTTTTTGCCTATACGCTGGAGTAAGCACTCGTTCCCCGCACCACCAAAAAAAAAAAAAAAAAAAAAAAAAAAAAAAAAAAAATTGGAAGTAAGTCATAATTTTTATTTTATTAGCCATAACTATTTAACAGAATAGCAGTGCCAGCGTCAAAATCGACGGGTCGAAGTTTGATATAATCAACTGTGAGACATTTGTACACGACATGCGTAAGATGTAAATCCGTAAATTGAAATCAGTGGCAACTTCTTCAGGTTCGCAGAACTATTTTTCTCCCATTTCAGTGTATGTAAAAAAAAAGATTCGAAATACGGCAGAATCAATGTTTACAATGGATTTAAATGCAGTTAAAACAGTGTTTCCAACTCGCGAGAATCGTTGCCGATTGAAAAAAATGCCGCTCGGAGTATGTTCTCTAGCCTACCTCAAAAATTGAAGGCGAAATAGTAATTTCCGCAGCTTTACACTCCCTTCATGTCGATTCTGTCTCCTCAAAACAGAGAGCATCGCGTCGCCTCTTTGGATACCATTGATACGAAGACACTGTGCGACGTTGTGACAGAGAATGAGGTTAGAGAGGCAGTTCCCACAGATCATGTTACTGCCGAGTTAATTAAGAGTGTGAACTTAGGAAAGCGCTCGTAACCTGTCGTCTGTCGCATCGGACCCGACCAGTCACCTTGGTGCGGAGCATCGCTCGATTTCGGTAGTCGCGTCCTGTCTGTCATTTGTCCTCGCGACAGCGTCTTCACTTCACGCGGGAGCCCCTGCATTCCTGCAATATAGGCAACCTCCTTCACATCAAAATTCTCTATACTTGGACGATATAGATCACGGTGATTACTGCGCCCCGATTATTAAAACTATGTCGGCCTGATAAGACGAGACATAGCCATATCTTAACGATGAAATAAATCGCAATAGAGAATTTGTAGGTGTCTTAAATTTTGTGATTTTCATCTTTAAAATGATATTACTACTATGAAAAACTTCGTGCGTGGGACCCGAAGTTGAGGTCGTATGGATCTGTGAAGTTTTCGGATCGCGCATTCGAAAACTTGAGGTCCATCTGCCGAACTTCGGGTCAAACATCTGAAGTACCTCAGTATATACCGAAGTACTTCACGCGTGTGAGCCGAACCCTTCGGTAAGTACCGGAGTACCTGATGTTTGACCCGAACTTCGGCAGCTGGACCTCAAGTTTCCGGATGCGCGATCCGAAAACTTCAGAGATCCATACGACCTCAACTTCGGGTCTCAAGCACGAAGTTTTTTTCTCCGTGTGGTAAACTTTCTTATGCCGCAATCACACGCTGAATATAGTAGCTGAATGTGGAAGTCAACAGCCATCGCCCAACGGCTGAAATTTTGCAAATTCGAGTTATTTTCATCCAGATGTGTGTCAAATCTATTCGAATACCTCAGACAAATCCAACATCAGACAAACAATCAGACAAGTCCGGTGGTTGCTGAGAATCGTTGCTGAATTTTGCGCGTCACATGCAAAATTCAGGCATCGGGCCGATGACTTCCACATTCAAGCCACATTCAGCTCTCACATTCAGCATGTGATTGCGGCATTAGGCAGTTTTTGTACCTCCAAAATTACTTGCATGTTCATGCTCTCCCTACATATCGTCACCTTCCAGGCAAAGTATCACAAGCGCCATGCGACGTTTAAAAATTTCCGCCGCCATTTTATTTTTTTACTGAGAAATTGTTGATTGAATCTGTTTGGAAATTTCACTAAATTTTATCGGCAGCACAAAGAAAATTCAGTGAAATTTTCGGACAGCTTCGTTGAACAATTTCTCTGTAAAAAAATAAAATGGCGGCGGAAATTTTTAAACGTCGCATGGCGCTTGTGATACTTTGCCTGGAAGGTGACGATATGTACTTTAGCATGTAAGAGTTCTATGGTAAATACCCGTGTAAACTTGGAAATGATGGATGGGTTTGATGTTGCAGGAGGAGAGCGTGGGGCTGCGGAGCTGAGCCGGGGGCGGCGATAGGATGTGAAGTCGAGGAATGCTGAAAGATCAGCACGAAGGATCAGCGAGCCCGGGTCCATCACCGACGGTCGTGTGTGCAGGATGTGAGCAGCGGATCGTGGAGCGATTCTACTTGCTGGCCGCCGATCGGCAGTGGCACGTCGCTTGTCTCCAGTGCTCCCAGTGCAAACTCCCCCTCGACGCCCAACTCACCTGCTTCTCCAGACACGGGAATATCTACTGCAAGGATGATTACTACAGGTACTTACTCAGAGAGTCCCTGCATAGGGAGAGATTAGGGGGCTATGCCCCCTTGCCGCTACGTGGCCCAACCCCCAGAGTGCGCTTCGCGTTCTCTTAGGCCCGCGTCGTCAAAAGAGCGACCAGAAAAACTGAAAAGATTTTCATACCCGACTCTCATTTATCAAATCTCCCTCGCTGGCCGGGAGCAGTTGGACCAATAAAAAGCGAACAAAAAAATCGGCATCTGTTTCAAACTTCACGCCAAGACTGAAACGAAACGGAACTGAGCGTTTCGTCGCTTTTGGATAGTCTGTGCCAGAGGAGCATACCTTCTTTTCACCTACCTTACCCTACTAATAGACCAAGATTCTGCATTTCCCGCTTAGTTCAATTTTCCGCTAAATCTAAAATTCCCGCAATTTTTTATTGGCGGGAATTTCAAAGTTTGCCCCATTTTTAAACTTCCTGGTCTTCTCTTATGTAAACAGAACCTAGGTTCTATTTCCAAAATCTGATTAAAGCGGGCTCATCTAGGACCTATCACCTGTCGATAACCGCAAAAATCATGGAAATCTGCCCGGTAGAACGCTGGAACTAAGCGTCACCAAATACGCAAATTTAGGAGGTCTCGGCGCTTGTAGTATAGACGCCAAGGAAATGCGACTTTCCAACGACTTGAGCGCGCACCGTGGTATATGTGCAATGCATGCAGTATCTTGCAGAATTGTAAGGAGCTACTGTGCCTTGCGCGCACCGTGCTGTAGACGCGCAATGCATGAAGTATCCTACGGTTTTGTAAGGCGCCACTATGTTTTTCACGCCGCGCGCGCCGGCCGCGCGCCGGCCCCGGCTGATGTGAGCTCGATACGTCCCGACTTTTTGGTGTTTTTAATATTTTGGTCTCGCTCTTCTCATGTTTCACAATGCTTGGAACTTCCCCGGAGAGGGGCTATGGACCCTAATTTGGAGGGGAGTATGTTATGGTGTTATGGTGTTATGGTGAGTACCAGTTATGGAAAATTAGGAGGCCTTGGCGAGCTTATAGTATAGATGGTTATAAAGAGAAATGAGATTAGAAGACGTAGGGAAGTTTTTTTTCTTTTTTTGGTGTAAATGCTAAGGGTATATTAGGGAGTTAGGAAAAGAGATAGTGCCCCTACAGCAACTTCACGCTAAGAGGTTTGACGTAGCGACTCTCTAAGCCCAGTTGACTGAGCCATGGAAAACAAACCAAGGGAACAATCTGGTCCACAGGTCCATTCCGCCGTCAGCAACCACTCTCGAAGAGCAAATCTCTTCTTTCCCAAGCGAGTTGCGTCGTTTCCACAAACGCTTCCCAATTCGAGGGCGGATGAGATTCAAATTAGACGAGCCGGCTTAGGATGCGATGCGCCGAGGGGTGGGAACTTGACTCAGGTAATCGTGCATCACGGCCTGTCAGATTTGATAGCGACACCGCAGCCCAGCGCAACGGCCGTGAAGCGGGGCCCCCGGGCGAAAACAATGCTTGGACAATGAGATTAAAGCTCGTTGTATGGAGAGTCATACTGGGAGGACGTGTGCGCCGTGCGCGGCCCCTGCGTGACGCTTGATTTTTTGAAAAGGGAGCCCTCTCATCTCATCTCGCCAACGCTGGGCAGGGGCACTTCTCTTGAAAGGAGGAGTCACGCGCTATTCCTCTCTTTTGCTGCTTACTTCTTCCTCCCTCTTGTCTCGGCTACTCCCGGGAAAAATCCTCGGGAATTTTCCACCCCTTTTTCTCATGCCTGCGCTTAAAGAAAAAAAGGGTGTTCGCATTTCGGGCACTTTGGCATCCTTGTATTTTTTTGATGATGTAGACCGATACGGAGGATTTTTATCATCGATTTTCTTAGAAATGGTGTAGTTTATGGGAAAAAGTATTTCTATATATAGTATTTGAAATTATATCATAAGTTGATTTTAGCAATGCTCTTTTGCTCCTAAATTTCTCCTCTCTCTTGTCTCGGCTGCTCCCGGGAAAAATCCTCGGGAATTTTCCACCCCTTTTTCTCATGCCTGCACATAAAGAAAAAAAGGAGGTGTTTGCATTTCTGGCATTTTGGACATTTTTGATGACGTAGGTAGGTTGGTATGGACGATTTTTATCATCGATTTTCTTAAAAACGGTGTAGTTTAAGGAAAGAAGTCATTCTGTATGGACCGCGTCAAGAGGAAGGAACCAAGCCACATCAGCTCTTGCCAAATTTAATTGGACGTATTTCTATCAAACGGTACTAAGCGCCATCGGGGTAGGAAGGTAGAGGGAGGCTTGGATTGGCGGCGGAACTGGGCTTCGGGCTAATTCCGTCCTATACTCGCAATGCTTTTCCATGGCGCTTAAGGACCGTTTGACAGAACGTGCTATCCGGGATTCTAAATTCCGCAAAAGGAACTCAAATTGGCGCTTAGGTCCGTTCGACAGAATTACGTCCAATTTGGCAATATGAATTTTCACATCAAAACCGTTGTGCGGAATTTCGTGCAAATTTCAGTAGATTTTCTCCCTATTGCGAAGAAATTCCTTAAAATTTCAAAGGAAGCCACACAAACGTTCTCTCGTAAAAAATTAAATTGCCCGCAGTTAATTTTGGCAAAAACTGATGTGGCTTGGTTCCTTCCTGTTAAACGCGGTCCATATAAAGTGTTTGAAATTACATCATGAGTTGATTTAAGCAGAAAAATCTATTTATCATACTTCGGATTCCGGATTTTGCTGGAGGCTGGAGTACTTGTGCCGACTACGCCACGGGGTGCACAACCCTCAAGATGCAAACGCCTCCTTTTTTTGCCTGCGCCATTTCTTGTGATTTCAAGAAAATTGGCAGCGGACTCGGCTTATAAACGCCTACCTCACACACAAACTAGGGACTTTAAAGAGGCTGGAAGGGCGATTAAGGGTGACCTACAAATACGACCCGCCACACAGTGGATCGAATCATTGGGAAAGGTCGGACAAAATTTGGAAACTTTAAACGCTTATAACTCCATTTATACTAAACTATGAGGTTCTAAAAGTGGTTCCATTGGTTTCTTCCTGAAATTTTCGTCTAGAGGCATCCCTTAAAATTTAAAATGTGACGAAATAATTGTCAAAATTTGCAGTTTTTGTCAAAAAATTCATGTCCGACCTCTCTATTTGACTCAATCCACTGAGCGCCGGGAGTGCCAAGCTTCGGGGGACGCCGGCAGCTTGGCGGGCTTTCCGTACCCCGAAATTTTTCAGACTCAGGTAAAGAGGTAGCAAAAAGAAACAAATATAAGCACGTAGGGTTGTATGAAATCGATAATCAATTTCGGGTATTATCGTAACAGAAAAGTAAGAATAGAAGTTCGCAATCCACGGTAAAACGTTAGAGGTTCCACCGAGACTCGAACTCGGATCGCTGGATTCAAAGTCCAGAGTGCTCACCATTACACCATGGAACCGTGGTTGTGTTCTAAAATGCGATCCAAGCTGATTAATTGAACAACAAACAATCAGCGTGCAATTCTGATAAAAAGTTCATTGAAATGAAAAGTGCACTCATCCCACAATTGCAGTGGACGGCGAGTTTAAGATAAGATTAGATTAATTTGAAAAACACGCAAGCAAGGCGATGCTGATTCAGCTTAAAGTTTAAAGATGATAGACAGCGTACTTTTTCAGTTCTTTACTGAAATATGCTACCTTTTTAAATAAGAAAAAAAGTTGCGATTTTTTCCCTTTCCTCCATTCTCTCATACATATGTCAGCAGTTTTCTCCTCTATTTCAAGAGAGTTGTAAACTGATACGCATTTCCTATAAGTATAAGACTAGATTTTCGCTACCTAATTATGTATTGTACTTCTGAAGCAACTACAGATTTTTTTTCCACAGAACGAGAATTGCATTAAATTTTATAGTTTGATATAGTTTAACGGAGCAATAATGATTGCGGGTGAGAAACCACCCGCTCATGAAAACTCAATGCTCTTACGTGATTCACATCGCACGCTAAACGTTATCATGACGGTCTCTGCGATATGAAAATCAGGCAACCTCAATCTTGACGCTTTGGCTCAGCTATAGCAAATTACTTATAGTTTGAAAAATACATAGTGGGAAATGAGCATAGCTCGATTAAGAAGCTTGTTGAAATCGTTGTAGTGCGCAATTTGACTCATGTAGAGCTTTGAGTTTCTTGTGAGCGGGCAGTTCAAATTCCTCGTAACCCATGTGAAATAAAAATGTGAATATCTCCGTTATAGGAGTCAGTTTCAGTAATTTTCGTTGCGCGGATCGTCTTCTACGTGAAATCCTGGTTAAGAAACATGTATCAGATTGCTTTAATTTGTACCTTGTCTAGTGGTCCATTGTGCATTAAACTTGATCAAACTGACAACCATGGTTCAAAATTCAAATCTCACGAGCTGAAAACGCCAAGAACCAGCAAGCGATCCTCTCAAAATTGACTGTAGGCATAATTGAACGAGGACCATAGGTTTTTCACCTTTACACCAGCAGCAGGCAGCAGTCGTCGACAAACCCCTTGTAATCGGATTCTTGGCCACGCGACCGGCGCGTGCGGCCCTTGCGCAAATCCTCTCGGCCCTGATCAAACTCGTTCGGTGTGAACATATCGGCTTGTTCCGCCCTCTAATCACGGCCGCAACGATCGGTTAGCCTCCTGCAAAGGTGGATTGATTTAGAATAATAAGTAGTGATGAATTAATGAGGTTATGCTATAGTCCGCAGCTCATCCGGGGTACTTATGATTCGATGACCCTCTCGCTTCTCGCTCGGTGAGGTTTTCTCTGTGGTATAAAACATAAAAGACAAATGTGATTTGTGCATCAATAATGAAACCAGTAAAAGCTTGCATCTCGATTGCGCTACACTCTGGGCAGCTTATTCAATAATTAATCATTTATTTTTTTACAAATTTATTTATTCAATTATATTTTTATTATTTATAAATTTTTAATTTATTTTAATTTATTTATAAATTATTTATTGTTTTACAAATGCGATTTGTGC